CTCAGGCCCTGCAGGCTGCTGCAGCTCATTTACACCTGGCTCGGCCTCAGGTGCCCGTCGGGCAGGTATGTCACCTGCCTGTCACCTGTTCCCTATGAGACCACTGCATAATCCCTCTTCAAAACCAAAGGACCTGTGCTTGGAGACAGGAAGGGGCTTTGGAAGTGCCAGGGGTGGTGGAGGTGGCCTGTGCGGTGTGGCTGGGGACTGTGCGCTCCCGTGCTGTGGTGGAGCCTCAGCCAGCACCTTCCTCCCCGCCGTGCCTGGGCCTGGGGAGACTGAGGCAGAGAAGTGACCGCACAGTCAGGGCGGCACCACCTGCCCCGCTGCCTCAGGTGAGAGTGTGGCGGTGACGGACAGCTGCCCTCTCAGGAGTGGTCAGGCCAGAGGACAGACAGGAGCTGGGCCGTTGGTGTCTCAGAAGAACGTTGGCCGTTGGGACATTTGGTCCAGAGGCCCTGCTCTGCCCTGGTCTCTGTTTGAGGAACAGGAAGAAGTGGCATTGAAGGCTGGGGACAGCTCTGGAACCACAGGGCAGAGGTGTCACCTCCTGCAGGGTGGTCTAAGTTCAGTGAATGTCTGAGGGCCCTGGTTCCCTGATCTCAGGCTGCAGCAGATGACCCAAGGCTGGAAGGGCTTCCGGGGAAGGCAGGTAAGGAGGTGGCCCTGAGCAGCAGGAGATGGCAGCAGGGAGACACAGGGGGCTGGAAGCTTGGCCAGGTGAGCTGGGCTCTCAGGAAGGGGGTGCTGCAAGCCACCCAGGGCTCCGTGGGGTGCAGCCTGGGAGCTGGCGGCAGCACTTGGAGGTGTCCTGATTCTGCTCTGAAAGGGAGGGGTCCCCTGGGGGGAGCTGGGGACCCGGGCTGGGGAGGCTCAGCCTGCCTGGAGGGATGCTGTGGTTTCCTCCTGAATAAGAGGCCGTGTTCGTGGCCAAGAGGGGGGCTGGGGGCAGGAAGGCCCACTTCGGGGAGTTAGAAGGAACAGGGAGAGCGAGGCTGAGTGGCGGCTCCCAGCAGCACCCACAAGGTCTGTGGTCCTGAATCCTGCAGAGTACCTTCTACAGGGACGTGTCTTTCTCTAGAATGTTCTGCATCTTGGGCACAGACCTCAGTGGGTGGAGAGGAGGGCTCTGCATGGAGTGACAGAGGGAGGGGCTGAGGATCTCCTGCCGCCTGGGAACCTCAGTGGGATAAGGGGGAAGCCAAGACATGGGGGGAGGTGAGGGAGGGTGGGGTCTCTGGAGGCTGGGGGCAGGGTTCGAGTGGGCCCATGGGAAGGCAGGTGTGGGACCCTGTAAGACAGAGTGGTACGACTGGGGAGCGCTGGATGCAGGCGGTGGGCTGCCAGGTGCCTGGGTTTAGGGTGGAGAACTTCCAGATGTGTCATTGTCACAGACTTGAAGCCTGGGAGCAGTGTGAGGGGATGGGGGGAGGGTCCTGGGAGCCTCTGAGTGAGAGTGAGGGGCTGCCGTGGCAGGGCCAGGCAGATGGCTTGCTTTACAACCTGAAGAAGAGAGGCCAGCATGTCCCAGCCCGAGGCAGGTGAGGTCAGAGGACCCACCAGGGCCACTGTAGGTCTTGCCTTTACTCCCGGTCACATGAGAGCCACGGGGCAGAGACGTGAGAAGAGAAGTGAGATTTGTGGCAGGACCCTCGGCTGGCGGGACAGATGGATGGACTCATCAATCCAGACAGGTGACTGCGGGCTGCCTGTGGGTCAGCGGCATGTCCTTGACCTGAGAGGCAACAGGGTGTGCTGGCACCCGGGATGTAGGGTGTGATGGGCAGGGAGGAGCCAGGAGCCCCATGGTCAGGAGGATGGAGATGCCCACAGCCCTGGGGAGGGCGGTGGAGGTGCGGGAGTTCCTGGGGGTGGGTGCTGGGAAGCCTGGAGACCGGAGCCTGCGGCACAGCGAAGCCCTGCAGGAGAGAGACTGCGGTGGAACTGGGGCGCCATCCACATTTAAATGTTTCTTTCTCCTTTTTAAAAATTCTTGAGGCAAAATCCACATATGATAAAATTAACCGTTTAAAAGTGAAAACTCAGTGGCATTTAGAACATTCACAGTGTTGTGCAACCACCACCTCTAGCTGGTTCCAAAAATATGGCTTTCACAGATGATTTGCAGAGGAGGGAGCCCAGGCCCTGCCCTGGGTGGGAGTCACAGTGGGGCAGGCAGAGGCCGTGGGAGGCAGAGGCCGTGGGAGCCCATCGGAGCAGCTGTGGGGGTGGGATGGAGAGAGGGACTGTGGCAAATGGTGGGGGGCGGTCTCATGGGAGTGACCCAGGAGGCCAGGTGGGTGCTGCCTTTGTGGGAGAAGGGCTGAGGGCTGAGCGAGGTGGGGAGGGGTGCAAACCCCTCGCCCACCCAGGGCCCAGATGTTCACTGGTGCCCACTGTGTTCAAGGTGTCCCCTTGCCACTGGAATCTGCCAGGGCCCTGAAGCAACATGGCTGTCTTGTGGATTCCAGCAGGGAGTGGAGGATGGGCAAAATGACAGACACCTGGTGACATGGAGTGTTGGAGCAGGTGCCACCACACAGGCCGGAAGGTGGAGCCTCAAGGAGCCTGTGTCTCAGTGCAGGGTGGGGTGCTGTGGATTGGGGGACAGCTATGCACACCCCACATATGGGCCCTACTTTCTAAGACCCCTAGAGACCACTGTAAAGGGTGGTAGGCGCCAGAACCCCTCCCCTGAGGCTGGCCCTGAGGGGAGCTTGGCTCTCACCTGAGCTGCCCATCTGCCCCGCCCAGAGCCAGGTGGACTCACTGTCACACAGTGCTAACCTGTGTGTTAGCAGTGGAAGGGACAAAGTTCTCCAGACCAAGGCCACCAGGCTAGGCCACACCAGTTTCCAGCAACAGGGTCCTCTGCACCCCCTTTCCACACTGCCTGGGCCCCAGCCAAGGACACACCTGCTCCACCCAGCTCAGCCCCAAGATGTGCCTCACCTGCCCAGGTGCCTCAGACCAGTTCCCGGAAATGGTGAGGGGCTGAGTCACCTCAGGGAGAGGCAGGGCCAGAGGGTCAGAGGGAGGGTGGATGGAGCTGGGAGGAGGGGAGCTGGGGGGAGCCTGCAGCGGGGTCACAGCACGGCTTCCCCCACCAAGGCCAGGAGCACAGGGTGGCCAGGGTCTCTCACAGCACCTGGAGACCCTGGCCACCCTGGGTCTGGGAGGGGTCCCTGAAGACCGTGAGTGCATGCTAGGGGGCCCATCTTCTGGGATAGGTGGGCTCAGAGATGCACCAGTTCTGTTTGAAGTTCATCTCTGCTGGGGTGTAGCTGACACCCACCACACACCTACCTTAGACGCAGAGTTGGAAAAAGTGACCACAGTCACACTTCAGGTACGGGACATTTTCTCATTCCCAGAATGTCCTCAGGACCCTTCGCAGCCAGCCCTGCCCCCGGTGACTGAGGGTGCTGGGCATCTTTCTTGTGTCTTGGTGGAGTGTGTTGAGGTCTTTTGCCCACTTTTTGATTGGGTTGTTTTCCTATCACTGAGCTTGAATAGTTCTTTATCGGCTTTGCATACAAATTGTTTTATCAGATAAATGATCTGCAAATATTTTTTTTTCCTAGTGTGGCCTGACTTTCACTTCTTCAACAGTGGCTTTCAAAGAGCAGATTAAAAAAAAAAAAGTTCTGGGCTGGGTTTGGTGGTGCACACCTGTAATCTTAGTGGCTTAGGAGGCTGTGGCAGGAATATCAAAAGTTCAAGGCCAACCTCAGCAACTTAGTGAGGCCCTAAGGAACTTATCAAGAACCTGTATCAAAATAAAAAGTTTTTAAAAAGGCCTGGGGATGTAGCTTAGTGGTTAAGTACCCCTAAGTTTAATCCCTGGTGCCAAATAAATAAATAATCAAAAATTTAAAAAAAAATTCTCATCAAGCCATTTTATCTCCTCCCACCCCTCAATTCTGATTTTGGTGCTGTATCTAAGAAAATCTTTGCCTAACCCAAGATCACAGAAAAATTTCTTCTGTGTTGTATTTTAGAAGTTTTATAGTTTGGGGGTTTACATTTAGCACTAGGAGGCAACTGGAGTTATATCTTGTATATGGTGAGCTGGAGATTGAAGTTTATTGCTTTGCAGATGATATCTAGCTGGTGGGAAAGTATTCTTTTTCTACTGATTTGCATTGGTATCTTTGTCAATAATTAATGTCTGCCTAGGGGTGGGTATGGTTTTTGGATTCACTGTTCTGAACCATTGATCTATGTATCCATTTTCATGTCAATGCCACACTGTCCTGATAATTGTAATTTTTCAGGTTTTTTTTAATACTTATTTTTTAGTTGTAGTTGGACACAATATCTTTATTTTATTTATTTATTTTTATGTGGTGCTGAGGATCGAACCCAGGGCCTCACACGTGCTAGGCGAGCGCTCTACCGCTGAGCCACAACCCCAGCCCTGATAATTGTCATTTGATAACAGGTTCTGAAAACATGTGGTGTTCTCCATCTTCGTCCTTTTTCTAAGCTATTTTCACTATTCTGTCTTGCATTTTAGAATCAACTTAAGTTCTGCTTTCAAAGTACTGTTAGAAATCGGATAGGTCTGCATTCAACTTATAGATTAATTAATTAATTAATTTTGGTGGGTACCAGGTATTAAACCCAGGGATGTTTTACCACTGAGCTACATCCCTCGCCCTTTTTATGTTTTATTTTGAGACAGGGTCTCACAAAGTTCCTTAGGGCCTCTCTGAATTGCTGAGGCTGGCCTAGAATTTGAGATCCTCCTGCCTCAGCCTCCTGAGTTGCTGGGATCACAGATGTGTGCCACCAGGCCCAGCTGAACCTATAGATTAATTTGGAGAAAGTTTGTGTGTCATGAAAGCAGGCTCTCCCTTCATATCTATAGATCCTCTTTAATTTCTCTGAGCAGTATTTTTCAGTTTTCTGTGTACTATGTTATCTTTTGTCCTTTATCCCTAGGCATTTCATGTATTTTGTTATTATAAATGGTGTTTCAAAAATTTCAATGTTGGTGTCCCCCTTTCACTTTGCCAAATGGACTGATGTCTTTATTGGTCATTCAAGTGGGGCAAAGGAAATGTTCTCTTAAAACTCAGGCAGATTGGGGCCGGGGATGTGGCTCAAGCGGTAGCGCGCTCGCCTGGCATGCGTGCGGCCCAGGTTCAATCCTCAGCACCACATACAAACAAAGATGTTGTGTCCACCGAAAACTAAAAAAAAAAAAAAAAAAACTCAGGCAGATGAAGTGTTTGCCATGTAACCTGTCAGAGGAAGCAAATTGAAATAGATTTCCTGGAAGGTCTTACACAATTTGATATTAAAGCAGTTCTAGTTTTATAGCATCAAAAGTTTATGAAGTTTTAAATTATATTAGCGATTTGATTTGGTTTGTCTAGTGGTTCAGAGGTTGTCACCTCATCAGAAGAATAGCTGTAAAGTAGGGGTGTTTCGAGGGAAAAGAGGACAGGTGGAGGAAGGAGACTAGGTGAGAGAGGTGGCCGGGCACCCAGAGCTGATTGGAGTAAATCAAATCCCATACAAGTATGATTTTTGTCAAAAGAACCCAACTGTTATAACTATAATGCACTAATAAAAGAAAGCAACAAAGGGTTGTTTACTTCAAGGCCTCTTCCAATTAGATTAATAATTGAAAAACGAATCAAGACATCATAGCCTTGTTGGGTTATTCTGAGTAAATGACTCATGATTTATATAATAAATGGAGCTGTCAAAACCATTTTCTGCATTGCTGTTGTGTTTTTGATGAGACACTTATGAGAATTTAAAAAAAAATCAATTTTGAGGGTTGGAGTTGTGGCTCAGTGGTAGAGCACTTGCCTAGCATGGGTGAGGTACTGGGTTCAATTCTCAGCACCACATGTAAATACATAAAATAAAGGTCCATGAACAACTAGAAAAAAGATATTTAAAATATTTCATTTTCTGATTGCTTATTGTTAGTATATAGAACTACAGTGATTTTTGTATGTTTTTCTTGTATTCTGAAACCTTCCTAAAAGACTTATTAGTTCTAAGGGTTTTTAAAATAGAGTCCATTGGATTCTCTACATAGATGATTATGTTGTCTGTGAATAAAGACCATTTTATATCTCTCCCTTCTCAGCCTAGATGCTTGTTGTTTATTTTTCTTTTTTGCATTATTATTATTATTTGATGGTGCTGGGGATGAACGCAGAGCCTAGTGCATGTGAGGCAAGCACTCTACCAACTGAGATATATCCCTAGTCCCCTTTTTTGCCTCATTGCACTGATTAGAACCTTCAGTTCAATGTTGAATAGTGGTCTTGTTTGTTTTTTTTAAATATATTTAGTTGTCAATGAGCATTTATTTATTTATATGTGGTGCTGAGAATCGAACCCAGTGCCTCACATATGCCAGGCAAGTGCTCTGCCACTGAGCCACAACCCCAGCCCAGTCTTGTTTTATTATTGATCTTAGAATGAAAACATTCAGTCTTTATCTTTTCTCTTTTTTCTTTTTGTAATACTGGGGATTGAACCTAGGGGCACTCTACCACTGACTATGTCCCAAGCCCTTTTTCTTTTTTTATTTTGAGACAAGATCTTACTAAATTTCCCACACCTACCTTGAACTTGTGAGCCTCCTGGCTTAGCCTCCTGAGTATCTGGGAGTATAGAGGTGGCCACTGCACCTGACTGAAAATAGTCTCTCTCAAGGAAGTGAGAAGTTCACTGTAGATGTTTTGTGAGGTATTCTGTGGGGATGTTTCCTTCTATCTCTAGGTTTCTGAGAGTTTTTATCAGGATGTTACATTTTGTCCAATGCTATTTTTGCTCCTACTGAGATGATCATATGGCTTTTCTCTTTTAAATCTGTAAATATGATGACACCGATTTTACTATCAAATATCAAACCAACCTTGCATTCCTGGTACAAACTCTGTTGATCATGATATTTTCTTCCTTCCTTCCTTCCTTCCTTCCTTCCTTCCTTCCTTCCTTTTTCTTCTCCTTTTCTCTCTTGTTCCCTCCTCCTCCTCCTCCTCCTCTTCCTCCTCCTCCTCCTCCTCTTTTTCTTCTCCTTCTTCTTCACAGTTCTAGGGATTGAACTAAGGGATACACTGTCACTGAGATATATCCCCATCCATTTTTAGACAGGGTCTGACTAAGTTGCCTAGGATGACCTTGAACTTGCAATCCTCCTGCCTCAACCTCCTGAGTAGCTGGGATTATAGGCATGCAGCACCATACTGGGCTATTCTTTTTAAGTATTATTGGATATGTACAAATTTTTATGGACATGTTTTGAATTCTCTTGGAGAAATACCTAACAGTAGAATGGCTGGATTATATGGGATATGTATATAGAGAGATATCTGTCTCCTCATCCAGCCCTGCCTGCTAACTTGTTAGAGGTGGTAGCACTAGAGGTGGCTGTAGCCTCTTGTGTCCACTTGTCCGGGCCTGCCTATCTCTCCCTCTAAGCAGGGGTTGGCAGACTTTTTCTTAAAAGCCAGATGACCTGAGGGCTGTTCAGTCTTGTCACAGAGCTCGCCCTGTAGGAGGACAAGCATGGTATGTTCATGTGAAACTCTGGTGCAGAAGGAGGCAGTGGGCCCAGGGGCCTAGTGTGGCGGCGGCTGCTGGAGGACCTGGACAGCCTTGCCCCACAGCTTCTGTGAAGCTGGACGGTGGGTAGGCACAGGCACCCCAGCCCTTGGCTGGGCAGGAACTTTTGGCACCTTAGTTCAGTCACGGAGCAATTTCCAGATGGGTAGATGAGGCCACAAGAAGCGAAGCCCTGGTTGTGGAGACACACTGTCAGAGCAGAATCCTGCAATATCATCATGCAGTGAGAAGTGGTGTCCCCGGGAGCCCAGAGATTGTCCTAGTTGGCTTCTTGTACCCACTGCCCCTTGCAGTTGGATGCCACTGTCCCGTCTTACAAACGGGGAAGCCAAGGCCACAGATGAGCTGGAGATTGTCTAAGGCCGTTCTCCAGCTGGGGACCTCATGTGCAGCCGTTGGCCAAGTGACTGTGAGCCGCCTGGTGAGGGTTTCTGGAGGAGATGGAGCTCAGGAAGGGAACTGGGTCTCTCCTTTCTGGGACATCAGTCCTTCCCCATGTGCTGTCCAGGAAAGCATGTGACGTCAACTCTGTTCTGCTGCACGAACAAAGCTCCTGGCACTAGCCTGGGTGCCGCTCTAGTGAGTGAGGGTGAGGAGCAGCCCAGGGCTCGTGAGGAAGCAGGGGAAGCCACCATCAAGGGGAGACAGACTGGCTCAGTCAGGGAGCCTGGCTGCTGTGACAAGAAGCTCCCACCCCTCAGACATGGAGCATGTGATCTTTTACTCTTGGCACAGTCCTGCCACGATGCCCACTTGGGCTCTCCTGGACGGGTCTCCTCTGGGCACTGACTCAAGGCCCAGGACCCTCCTAACCCTGAGCCCCACTCCTCCTTTATTAGAGCACCCCCCATCAGTCAGGGACCAGGGGATGTTCTCAGCCAGATCTGGAGGAACTGAAGTCGCTCTGCTCACATTTCACTGGCCAGAATTTGGTTGGTGGCTGTACCCAACTGCTGGCAAATATCTTGATCTCAATGGACCTCACCCAGGAGAGCCTTTGCAAAAAGCAGTTCAGAGGTGACTGTACCCCTTTTTAGGGAGATTGCTCTTTTGAGAACTCCTTCAGCTCCCAAAGCCCCCTCTGCTCAGTTATTATGATGGGGTGTGCAAGATGGGAAGGAAAATAACCAAGTCTCCCAACAAGTGCTCTCACCCAATTTAACAAGCCTCTTGTCCCCATGTTCACGTTGCCATGTTCAACATGAGAAATTTCAAACGTAGTTATTCCTCCACACTTGCCCACACCCCATTTAGATCCGACCATCATTAGCATTTTATCATATTTGAATCATTCGTGATGTACAGTAGATTTTTTTTAATATTTATTTTTTAGTTGTAGGTGGACACACAATATCGTTATTTCATTTTTATGTGATGCTGAGGATTGAACCCAGTGCCTCACGTGTTCTAGGCAAGTGCTCTACCACTGAGCCACCACCCCAGCCCCTAATTGACCTTGTTTTTTATTTTTTTGGTACTAGGGGTTGAGCTCAGGGGTGTTCCACCACCAAGCTACATTGTCAGACCTTTTTATTTTATTTGGAGACAGGGTCTTGCTAAATCGCCCAAGCTGGCCTTGAATTTATCATCCTCCTTCCTCAACCTCCTAGGTCGCTAGGATCACAGGCGTGTGCCATTGCAGCTTTCTTGAATTTTATAAAATAAACTAGATACCAAGATGCATCATCTCTAAGTATGTCGGTGCCAAGTTGGGCCACAAGGCCGTCATCGCCCCTGATAACCTGAGTGCTGACCACCGATTGTCCCCCCATGCACTGTCCATCTGCTGCGTCCCTCATGACTGTGGTGGGACCCGTGGGCCATGTCCTGCGTTGGTGTGAGGTCTCTCTCAGACTCAAACCCCAACCTCAGCTCCTTTGCTCTGGGATGATTTCTGCAGGCAAATGTCCCCAGGGCAGCCACCCAGAAGGTGTGTGTGTGTGCGCGTCCAGCCCTGCTGGGGTCTCTGGAATCCTGGGTGCTGGTCCAGCCCTGGGGCCCAGCACTCGCCATGGCCCCTGGGTGGATGGACTCTCAGCAAATCTCTGGAGTTTCTGTGGGGAGCACTGTCCACATTAGGGGGCATCCAGGACAGCCAGCTGGAATTACTCCTCTGGGGGAGGCAGGGAGCCCTGCTTGGGCCCAGAGTCGGGTGGCCCCAGGGATCATTCCCGCAGCCTCCCCTTGAGCAGAGGGGGGTCGAGGCTTCCATTCAGGGGCCCTCGTGACCCTGATCTGAATATCTGTCCACCTTCCAGTGTCCCTGTCCGAGCCTCCCTGACATCTACCTTTCCATTCCAGACCCTGACTGGGCTTCCTACACCCTGGGCGTGTTCATCTGTCTGAGCTGCTCTGGAATCCACCGGAACATTCCCCAGATCAGCAAGGTGAAGTCCGTCCGCCTGGATGCCTGGGATGAGGCCCAAGTGGAGGTACGGGGCTGAAGAGGGACAAGGGGCGTGGGCGGAGGGTAGAGGGACCACATGCCGGGGGACCCCAGACCCCATCTC